CAGGGTCGGTGCGTGGCCGGTCTGTGCGAGTGCTACGGGGCGCTGACGATGGAGAGCCAGTGCACTCGCGTGGGCTGCGCCGATGACGTGGACTGCTCCAACCACGGAACGTGCGGAGCGGAGGGGACATGTGAATGCGATGCCGGATACATGGGCGAAGCATGCGAGCTGACGGTATGCGGAGATGAGCGCGCGGTTCACCAGGGCTTGATTGCGACCTTCTACGATGGGAGCGGGTTTGATGAGCGGCGTGCCATGGTGGCGATGCCGCGTGTGTCGACGGACCCCGATTACGATGCCCCGCACCCGGGGCTGCCAAGCGACTACTTTAGCATTGTATATGCGGGGTTTGTGCGGCCCAAGGAGACGGGGTGGTATCGGTTCCGCCTGCGGCGTGAGAACAGCAACGCGTATATTTACCTGAACCGGAGCTCGTACGATGACAGTGCGGGCCGCGCGGTGTTCTTGACGCGGGTTGAGCTGCTGCGCCTGAAGCTGGAGTGGCGCCACTACACGTCGGATACGTCATTGTACTTTGACTGGATGGGGCCGTTTGCCAACTCGACGCTGGCCGAGGCGGCGCCGACGTCGGCTTTTGGGGTTGTGCCGGACCATGTATTGTTGTATGAGGCGGTGTGTCCGGGCGGCTGCTCGGGTCGCGGGTGCTGTATTGCCCCAGACACGTGCTCGTGTGATCCGGGCTATGGCGGTCCAAACTGTGGCGTAGACCTTTCTACCTGTGGTATCAACGCCCCCGACGGCGCTCTTGTCCAAGGTGGACTCATGTCCCGTTTTTACCCCGGCAATTTGGAGGACGCAATCACTGCGAATGTCACCTCTGCCGACGGCGGCGTGCGCACCCGTATTAACCTGGACTGGGGATCCGATGCACCTGCCGCCGGCTTTGATGCCAACTATTGGACTGCCGTGTTTACGGGTTGGGTCAAAGCTGATCAGACGGGATGGCATACGTTTCGCGTGAGTACGTCCTCAATGGACGCACGCCTATATTTGGGTGGTGTGCGACTATTCACTTGGACAACGGGCTGGGCACAGCCAATGTATCTCGTTGCTAATCGTTTGTACAATGTGCGACTCGATGCCCGGGATGGGACGGGATCGGCCGCCGTCTACCTCTATTGGGAGGGGCCAGGTTTTATGGAACATCTCGTGCCTTCCAGCAATCTTTTTTATCAGGAAGAGGGCTTTATGTGCGACTGTGGAGCTAGCCAATGCAGTGGCTCAAACCGTGGTGTCTGTGCCAATGCTCTGTGCGTTTGTCACGGGCAGTTTGAAGGAGACTCGTGCGAGCACTATCGGTGCCGATCCGACGAGTGCCGGTTCTCGGATAATTGTTATGACGAAGCTTATGT